CATTTCCTGCTCATTACTAGTACGATGAGGAGTGTCAAGAAGCTGCAGAGAAAAATGCCTGAATGCTCAAGACTCCTGTAGGAACAACCATGGCGACCTAGTGACCGATGTCCAGAATGTACTCAAAAACATCGAGGGAACACTTTTCAACCCTCTTGAATGGCAGAAGCACTGAAAGAAGTGGAGAAGATGAACCCGAGTCCCCAGTCGATGACGATGGAGTCGATATCCCAGCGCCTGACTATGACGAGGTACGAATAGCGCTTATGCTGATGAAAAGTAACAAATCTGCTTGAGATGACGGCCTTTCAGCTGAGCTATTCAATTACGATGACAAGGAGCTAATAAGGTGCATGCCCGACGACTGGCGACCCCGCCATACGCGCCAACTACCGCGGGATCAGCCTTCTAAGCATAGGTTGCAAGGTCTTATACAATGTATTGTGTGAAAGACTGAATACCACCGTCAATGAACTTATTGGACCTTAACAGTGTGGATTTAGGCCTGGTAAATCCACCATAGATCAGGTATTCATAATACACCAAATCTTGGAGAAGACTCCTCGATTTCAGAGCCGCTTTCGACAGCACTAAAAGGAGTTGATTATACGCCTATATGTCTGAATTTGGCATCCTCTCAAAACTCATACGGCTGTGTAAAATGACGGTGAGCAATACCACCAGCTCTGCCAGAATTGGGAAAGACCTCTCCGATCCGTTCGCCGCCAAACGGTCTTTCAGACAAGGCGACTTCCTTTCAACTGACTTCTTGACTCTGTTGTTGGGGAAGATAATAAGAGCTGCAGAACTGAACCGCTCAGGAACAATTTACTACAAGAGCGTACAATTGCTGGCTTATGCCGATGACACTGACATTATCGGTAAGAAAAACCGCGAAGTCTGTTCTGCCTTTTTCAAGTTGGACAAGGAAGCAAAGCGAATGGGTCTGGTGGTGACCGAGGACAAAACGAAGTATCTCCTGTCATCACACAAACAGTCAGTACATTCGCGCCTTGGCACGCACGTCCCTGTTGACAGTTAAAATTTCGAGAAAGCGGAGAATAATCTTTACTTGGGCACCAGCATTAACACGGATAATAATTCCAGCAGCGAAATACAATGCATAACCACTCTTGCCAACAAGTGCTACTTCGGACTGACTAGGCAATTGAGAAGTAAAGTCCTCTAGCCGTACAAAAATCTTACTCTATATGTCAGTCATCATGCCTGTGCTGGTTTATGGCGCGGACGCATGGACAATCAAAACATCTGATTTGGCGGCTCTTGGACCTTTCTAGAGAAAGATTCTGCAAAAGATTTATGAGCCTTTACGCATTGGCGACGGCAAGTGCCGCATACGATGAAACGTGAGCTGTATGAGCTTTACAATGATATCGACATAGTGCAGCGAATCAAAATACAACGGCTACGCAGGCTTGGTCATGTCGTACGAATGGACGGAAATGCTCCAGCTCTAAAAGTATTTAACGCGGGTCGCGATGGTGGAGGAGGAAGGCCCACTTTGATGGAAGGACCAAGTGGAGAAGGACTTGGTTTCAATTGGCATTTCCAAATGGGTGTCAGTTTGCACAGAAGAGAAATGACTGTTTTGGACTCGGCCAAAATCGCGTAGACGGTTATAGAGCCAAATGAGAAGAAGAAGAAGAAGTTTGTGCGTCCCAGATGCATTTTCTCAAGCGAGGAATGTTCTAGACCCATCAGCAATGTATGTTTTGTCTGGCAAAAGATTCAGTTGGTTATTTTAATGTAACTTGCGGACTTTAGCTTTCACAATTTCGCATTTCACATTTGTGTTTCTCTAGTCTGGCTTCTATATTATTTTATCTTTACTTTTGCTATAATTTTCACTAATTCTGATAACAGTTGATTTGTTTATTTCACTGAAAATAAAATTTCGTAAAAGTGCTACGAAAAACTTTCGTAGTCTTGGTTTTTGTACAATGTACGAAACTTACGGTCATAATACGAACGCATTTTTCACAACGAAACAAGATTTTACGAACCATTCGTAAATATAACGAAAAGCCTTTCGTAAGGATTTTTTTCAGTACAATTTACGAAATCTTACGTTTATTTTACGAAACACATTCTTAAATTACTGAACAAACCTCTGTACGAATAAGTTTGTATATTGTACGAAGGCATTCGTAATATTTACGTGTGGTTTTAAAATATACGAAATCTACAATTCTGTATTCGTATAATTTACTTAAAACTTTCGTACATAGAAAAAATGCAGAAACATGTTTTTTAAATTCGTACAACAGACGAATATTTTCGTACAATATACTAAATTACCGGCAGTTTAATATTTCATCATATTTTTATGTACCGCGTGTCATTGCAAAATTACTGTTTGGCTGCTGTGAGACGTATAATATAATTTTAAACGTTTCAAGAGGGTTTTTCTGGATAAAAATACAAAACAAAATTAAATATTAAAGCTGTGGATAAATGCTCTTAAGCATACAATGTTTTTAACATCGCCCACGCTGAGCCTTGTGCTGCAATGTGGGACTTCATAAGTAGGCAATTTCATCAGTTACCTATCAACGGCAAGCCCAAATCAGGAACAGACACTCCACTTAATGAAATTTTAAGTAAGTACATATAAGATTTTTCACTGAAACCTGCCTTTCAGACGCCTTATAATTTTCCTTTAATTTTTAGTCGTCACGGAAACTAACATCGAAGAAGCTGCGAATCTGCCAAGTACATCCACATAAAAATATTATAATGTTGAAAGAAAGTGAAACCAGTATTTTTTATATCCTTTCATATTTTATATCTTATTGTATTTAATAAGGGTTTTGTTGAGTTTCATAATTTGACACTTTGCATCACTATACTTTATCGAATGAAGGCTAAGCAATAAAAAAATATGTAGTATAGAACCTATTCGTATGCATATAAATAAAAGACTTAAGTTGGATTATAGCTAAAATAACCTTTTTTATTAATTTTAAACTGCAGAGTAGCAGAAAACTTAAGTAAAACTTATTATTTACGACATTTATGCTTTTAATGTCTGCACTTCTTTCGTAGAATGTATGATTGCTTTTATTCTTTACACTATAAAAAACATAGCTCAAATTATAACACAACACTTTCATTATTTTTTAATCATTAATGTTAAACTTTTTTGCATAACATTTTGTTAAAGAAAAGCGCTTAAAATTAAGGATAAAAACAAAATAAAAGTGTGTTAAATTCGTACTGTGTTTTTTACAGTGTGGCGAATGAAAGCAATTGCAAATTCTACGAAACAACCGCAGATTTTAGGAAAATAATTTCGTTAAATATACGAATTATTTTTGTGTATTTTACAAAAATTTCGTAACAAAATAAAGAAATAGGACGAAATTATTTAGCAAATAGTACGAAATTCGTTCGTAAATAGTACGAATGCGTTCGTAAGATGTACTTAAGATCTTATGTCTGATATTTCGTAGTATGTACGAAAACAGTTTGTTTTGTACAATCAACGATAAATTTCGTGGCTCAAAAAGACGAAAATATTCGTAAGATGTACGCAAGTTTTCGTTATATTTACGCAGATTTTATTTTCAGTTTTAAACTCATCACGCACCACTTAAACTGAAATACCACTTTTTGGTTTTTCCAGAGTACTGGTAAATTAAAGAAAGGCAAAAAATTAAAATTTTGTGTGTGTGGCACGCATAAACAAAGAATGATGTAGGCATTGATGCTAATTGTTTTGAAGTTGCATTTATAAAGGTTACAATGTTTTGCTTTAGAGACTTGCATTAATCAAGAAATTGCACTATTGAGGGTTGCGGATGCCGTGTACGCACTGTACATATTTTTCATCAGAAAAACAGAAATGAAGTTACGAGCAATAAGGCTCAACCTATGAGCGAGTTCTTAGACCTTAAGTATAGATTTGAGGGGGTATTCAAAATTCTAAGTATGCATATTTTTTGTGCTTCAGTAGATCTATAACTTTAGCAGTCACAGTGTTATAATCCCAACGAAATCCTTGACGGTGGTACCGGGAGGGGAACGGTACATGACGGTAGGGGTTAGGCTTTCGATGCTTTCGTAAAATAAACATGCGCAGTAAAATATTAACTATTTTAATCGACGAATAGTTTTACATAAACTTTGTGAACTTCTGTTTCTTTGTTTTTGTGCAACATATTTAGCTCTATTGGTTACAATAATTTTAAGCTATAATAAACAATTTTTTAGTAAGTTATTGGTTTGGAAAATTTTTTTTTTTTGTATAGGCGTATAGGTACGAATGGTCACCGTACACATAGCGCCTTTTGCATTGATGGTGTTAATAAGCATATACATACATACATACGTTACAAATAACGTTTAATACAATGTTCAAATAATTCAAAAATCTGTCTTAAATTACGAATCTTTATTAGTATTTTTTGTTTGTTTACACAGATATAAAAATCCTATATAATTTCCTCGAAATTTCAATGACAAGTTTTTTCAGTTCAAACGGATAAAGAAATAAAGAGTACATAAAACAATATTTTAATTACATAAAGAGCAAAAAAAAAACTCAGTTTAAGCTTTTTTATTTTAATCCGGTTTTAGCTACACAAATTATACACTGTGAATATTTTCGAAGTACATTCAAATTCCGTACCTTCAATAGTATGTGCGAGAAATCGTTTATTTTTGTATCGGTAACATAATATGTACAAATCAAGAATTTTTTAGTTACTTCGAGTTGAATGTTTTTCCGCAATAAATAAATTTTCATTGTGCTTATGACCACCTAAAAAATTTAAAAAGTACTGATAATAAGACGCTGAAGTATTTTACATAGAAATAGTTCTGCACTTAAAAAGATCCTAAATGAATTTTTAAAGACGGGGGTTTTGCTATTTGTGCATTACGTATGCATATACATATGTACGTATCTATGTATGTATATATGGATGTGTTGAAATTAAGTAAGACCTGAAGTTCGCAAAATTCTCTCCACGTCTATAACGTAACAAAAAACACAACTTTTCATAGACATTGTTTTGCGTGTACTTGCATACTGCCAATTTTTGGGCTATATAAAGTGGTCAAGTGCCGCCTTCATGTAATTATAGTCCAGCTGTCCAGTTGTCCAGAGCAAAATTCGTAGCCCTTGAGTGCGTGTTTTTAAAGTGAGTGTTTTTATTTTATATCCGCATAATAAAATTGTAGTTGGAGTTATTTTAATACCAAGTGTGAATATATGTGTGTATGTACATACATGTATTTTCACAGTATTGTTCTCTACAAAACTAAAGTGGTAGTGTCAATAAGTAGAATAAATTATCAGTCGCGAGCATCTCTACTGGCGATTTTTAAGCCAATATGAAAAATACAGATACGCTTTATTACCAAACAAAAAGTGTTGAAATATTCGAATTTTTTCAATTGAATATCCAGTTAATGCCCATAAATATATACATATTTATGTACGTACATACACATGCATACGAATGTAGGTATATATGTTCGTACTCGTATAAATACGTACATACATATGTACACATGTTATCTATTTAAATATTTCTTCTATACATATATATGCATGCACACGTTTGGAAATGGGTATCTCGCTTACCCATGTGCGCGGAAATTCAAGTGATGATAAATATTATAAAAACTGTCACGTCCGATCTTCGAAAAAAAAAATCATATAAAAATTTATCCAGAAACATATTGGGCCGAGTGCTTGATTGCTGCGGTATAATTACCGGTTACATAAAATGAGTTACATATGTATATATGTATGTATGTATATACATATGAAAAAAGTATGAGCATGCAACATAAAATGTGTTTTAGCACACATACCCAGTAGCAAAATGTAATGTATTGCAATCGATAAAATACATCAGTAAAACAGCCGTTTGCACCAAGGATGCATTGTAACGTCAATTTTAGCGTTTACCAAAAAAAATCAATCAATCAATTATCAAAATAATGCTATTTTGCTTATTAACGAAAAGAAATTCAATCGTTAATGCTGAGGCTGTAGCATACATTTAGATGCTAGGTGTTTATAGTGAGCTGGCAATGGCATACAACAACAACTTTTCGTTGATTTATTTTGTTTCGATGTTAACGATTGATGATTTATGTATTTCGTTTCAACGTTAACGAATGAGTTTTGTTTCGTTAATTCAGCTCTGAAACGAAACAAAATTATTTGGATAATTATTTTTGCGCATCAACAAAACGAAATCGATTCATACCCAGTGGGAACAAGTAATGTATAGTAATCCAAAAAATAATCGGTAAACCAGCCGTTTTCACATACGAAAATGCGTTATTTTTCCCACGTCGATGTCCTAGAAAAAGTGGGGCATTCATTTTTGCATTACCAGTAATGTAAAAATGAATGCGATTTTATATGAAATTTTTGCGACTTTTTGGATACATTAGCATTCTGATTACATATTAAACAGAAATAGAATCTAGAACTCATTAGAAATACATTACATTATTTATCACGCATGTAATGCATTACCACTTTTCCCACTGGGTATAGTTTGTTGAGCATTTGCACATTCGAAAATGCATAATTTTTCCCACGGCGACGTCCTAAGAAAAGTTGGACATTCATTTTTGCATTACCAGTAATGCAATAATGAATGTGATGTAGTATGAAATTTTTGCAACTTTCCGAATACATTCGAATGCTGATTGCATTTTAAACAGTAATAGAATCTCGAACTCATAAGAAATACATTACATTATTTATCATGCATGTAATGCATTACTACTTTTCCCACAGGGTGCGTTTATATATAGTATGTATGTAAATACATACATGCGTAAGTACATACATATGTGCCTGTGAAAAAGATTTTTAGACGAAAACATACATAATTAACTACCACATCATAACTTTTTAATTGTATGGCGCTGTTGCAAAAAGAGGCGGCCGCACTGTACACGTGATAGAAGCGAAACCTCTTAAAAACGCGTGAGTACCAGGGGCTGGATTCTGTAACTGTGAGAAAATATAGTGTACACCGAGTGCAAAACTTACAACCAAAAACTAATCGAATAAAATGCTGTGAGTTTTTCGGAAGAGAAGTGTACACAATTTTTTTATGTGATACTAGCAGACCCGGCGAACTTCTTCCCGCTCAAAATTAATTTTTGGATTCAAACATTTGGTCACCAACAATTCACGTTCACGTTTGGTTTTGTGGAGGATCATTGCCATCTTAGATAACCTAACTCAGGGCTGGCGAACTTAAGTCACGCGTGCAATTGATGGCACACAACAAATTAATTTGGGCACGGTATTAATTGAAGACTCAATTCCTCAATTAAGCTCTACCCAGAATTACAGCGGTCGGCGTTAAGTGAACAGCCGTATAGTTGCCGCAGTGAAATCCGTCGGAGTAAGCACGACGGCTTCCGTCAGTTGTCATTTTGATTTGAAAATTATTATTAAAATTATATACTTTTTCGGTACGTGCATGTAAGTTGATTTCCTGGAAATAAAAATGGATGAAAAAATGTGAAAACTTGTGAATATAATACTACAATCAATACTCAATCACCATTGTGCCGTTCCCGCTGGGCGGTTAGAATATAAATCGAATTAAAACGTCGGCGGTAAAAATGCTGCCGCCGCCATTCCATATGACTTTGAGGTCCCTGAACTAATCACTACAACATTCACCGACTGGTTTCGCACACATGCCCTAATTTAGTGCTTATCTAGTGCCAATTTATGCCACTAAAAAAAATTTAGTGCTCTGCAAATTTTGGTAAAAACATGTGGTAGCCATCTCTTCAGCTGAAGTAAGCACTACACTATCAATATCTCTGGAACCAAAAAGCTCATATACTTCTACCTTACGACATAATTTAGTGCTTATCGAGTGCTAATTTATGCCGCAAAAAAATTTTTTTTTCTCTGCAAATTTAGGTAAAAACATGTGGTAGCCATCTCTTCAGCTGAAGTAAGCACTACACTATCGATATCTCTGGAACCAAAAAGCGCATATATTTACTTTTACCTTACGACATAATTTAGTGCTTATCGAGTGCTAATTTATGCCGCAAAAAAAATTCTCTGCAAATTTTGGTAAAAACATGTGGTAGCCATCTCTACAGCTGAAGTAAGCACTACACTATCAATATCTCTGGAACCAAAAAGCGCATATATTTACTTCTATCTTACGGCATAATTTTAACACATTTATTAATACATTTTGCAATAGCACTGCGCAATTAATAAATTTATTATAACTCATATTGATAGACTAAAAATAAAGTTCAAAGCTACTATAATAAAAAATATAAATAAAAATAGCTAATATAAAGAATAGAAATTCAAATCCCTTTCGTGTACATATATATTACACCGTGTGACAGTCAATTTTACACACAAAAATCAATATACTCGCGTAACCATGGGCCAAATATAGTAATACCGCGTTTCTAGTTTTTCTCTCTGACGTCCGGATTCTTTTTAAAAGGCCTTCGAAACTTGAAAAATATGATTATTCCGGAAATTGTAATGCAGAAAAACAGTATTTGTACCAAATTAAAGAGAAAGTTCTGTAGAATAAAAACTAGTAAATTTGTTGGTGCCTAAGGACCTTGAAATTTTGCAGTACTTATTTTTGAACAAATTATATGTTTAAGGCTAATAACTCGACCACACCCTCGAATTTCTTGTTCTCACTTTGTCAGCTCAAAAAAATAAAATTTACCATTCGTCCTTTTAAACCAACAATTTTTTTTTAGTGCTTACTTCAGCTGAATAGATGGCTACCACATGTTTTTACCCAAATTTGCAGAGAAAAAAAAATTATTATTATTATGCGCTTTTTGGTTCCAGAGATATTGATAGTGTAGTGCTTACTACAGCTGAAGAGATGGCTACCACATGTTTTTTACCAAAATTTACAGAGCACAAAATTTTTTTTAGCGGCATAAATTGGCACTCGATAAGCACTAAATTATGTCATAAGGTAGAAGTATATGCGCTTTTTGGTTCCAGAGATATTGATTGTGTAGTGCTTACTACAGCTGAAGAGATGGCTACCACATGTTTTTACCAAAATTTACAGAGCACTCATTTTTTTTTAGCGGCATAAATTGGCACTAGACAAGCACTAAATTATGTCGTAAGGTAGAAGTATATGCGTTTTTTGGTTCCAGAGATATTGATATTGTAGTGCTTACTTCAGCTGAACAGATGGCTACCACATGCTTTTACCAAAATTTGCAGAGAAAAAAAATTTGTTTGCGGCATAAATTGGAACTAGACAAGCACTAAATTATGCCGTAAGGTAGAAGTATAAGCGCTTTTGGTTCCCGAGATATTGATAGAGTAGTGCTTACTTCGGCTGAAGAGATGGCTACCACATGCTTTTGCCAAAATTTGCAGAGAAAAAAAAATTTTTTGCGGCATAAATTAGCACTCGATAAGCACTAAATTATGTCGTAAGGTAGAAGTATATGCGCTTTTTGGTTCCAGAGATATTGATAGTGGAGTGCTTACTACAGCTAAAGAGATGGCTACTACATGTTTTTACCAAAATTCGCAGAGCATTTTTTAGCGGCATAAATTGGCACTAGATAAGCATTAAATTATGGCATGTGTACGAAACCAGTCGGTGAATGTTGTAGTGATTACTTCAGGGACCTATGCCTTTGTGAGTTCTAATTTTGAACGCGGTTAACCGTCGACCACTTTGCCGTCGTCCGCTGTAATTCTGGGTAGAGCTTTACTACCCACACTCTAAAAAATAATTGTGTAGATTTCCTACCTAAAAGGTACGTTACTGATTTCCCACCTTATTATTCGCGAAATTACATGCTCGATTATTCAACGAATAGTTTGTTTAAATTTCGGACTTTTTAGAGCGTAATATAGCTGCTGAGGTGTGCGTAAATTTTCTACGAAAGTGTGTACAAGTTACAAAATTCACATCTGTTGTCTGATTTCCACCGTAGAATTGTGTAAAGCCGCTAACAAAAAGGATTTTGACACACGAAAATGTGGAAACGAGAAAAATACATTTCCATCGTGTAAATTTACCAAAAATTTTTTAAAATAAACAAAAATATACTCAATTTAAAGTCGCATTTTTAAACAGATTTTTTAGAGTGCTTTAAAAAATCGGTAATCGCTCTTAGTGGT